AAAAAAAAAGAAACAAAGAGCACTTGTCCCAGAAAAGATCAGACCTGAACACCTGAAGAACCTACTGTCAGTACTCATCAATACACTGGCTCAGCTCTTCACACACTACCTGTCTGAATGCAAGGTTCCATCCCAATGGAAAACCAGCAGGACTGTACTACTGTACAAGAAGGGAGACATCCACGACATTGGCAACTATCGCCCAATCTGCCTATTGTCTCTCATCTACAAGCTGTTCACTCAAGTCATCCTGAATAGGATTGGCAGAACACTAGATGAAGGAAAACCATGCAGGCAAGCTGGGTTCCAAAAAGGATTCAGCACCATCGACCATATCCACGCGATAACCAAGCTCATTGAGGTTTCTTGTGAATTCAAGGTGCCGCTCTGTCTAATGTTCATTGATTTAAAGAAGACCTTTGATTCTGTTCATACAGAAGTGGTCATTGAAGCCCTAGCCAATTAGGGCATTCAAACTCAATACATCAGGATCCTCCATGAGCTGTATTACGGATTCACTACCAGGATCTCACCATTCTACAAAGAAGTGATCATCGATGTCAAGAGAGGGGTTCAGCAGGGTGATACTATTTCACCGAAATACTTCAGTACCACCCTCAAGAACATCATGCGACGACTGGTATGGGTAGGAATTGGAGTGATGATAGATGGTCGGCAACTACACCACCTCCACTTTGCTGATGAAATTGTTCTAATAACACCAAACATCAGACAAGTGACACAAATGCTGACCGACTTCGACCATGAGTGTGGAAAGGTCAGATTACAGCTGAATCTCACAAAGACAACATTCATGAGAAATAGTCTTGTTCCTGACGTTCCATTCACTCTCAACAGAATGACCATCTCCGAATGCAACAGTTATGTGTACCTAGGTCGAGAAATCAACATGATGAATGACCTGGCACCTGAGTTGCGCAGGAGGAAGAGAGAGGCTTGGAATGCCCTCAAGAGTGTCGAAGAAATAACTAAGAGGACGAAGAACCTCTGGCTCTGAGCACATCTCTTTGATTCCACTGTTTTTCCTGCATTAACATATGCCTCAGAGACCTGGGCCCTATGAAAACAGGATGAGAACGGTATTCAGGTCTCTCAAAGAGAAATCGAAAGAGCTATGCTTAGAGTATCACGCTTCACTCAAATAAGAGAAACAATCCAGAGTTCAGACCTCCATTAATGCTCAAGAATCAGGGACACTGTCTTGTTTCTCAAGGCATCGAAAATCAGATGGGCTGGACACGTAACGAGATTTAGAGATGACTGCTGGACTAGCGCCATTACCGACTGACTTCCAAGGGACATTAAAAGATCGTGTGGTCGCCCACCTATGAGATGGTCCGACCTCTTCGTCAAGACCCAGAAAGAACGGTTTGAGGCTCTTCATGTTCCTAGAACAAGCAGATGCCATTGGGCTAAGCTAGCACACAACGGGGATGAATGGAGACATTACTGGCGCCTGCTTGAGCAAATCGATGAGTAACGGGATATCAAGTGATCAAGTGATCAATGCACTTTTCTGCATTATGATTTCTATTGCCATGACTTGCTACCGTATTCTTTTATTTCTTTCAATTCCCTTTCAATTAATTAGTATTTTGCAACAATTTTTCTTTGGTTTAGTTGAATTATCTTCCAAGCTCTTTTAGTATCTTCTGCCATCATGAATATTGTTCAGATATCCTTTACGAATGCCATTATAATTTTTTAGTGACTTTGGGTACTCATCTGGATTTCCAACCCCTTGTGTTTAGAAGCTAATTTCATTGATTTTTTTCATTATTCTCAATGTTTTATAGGTGTTAACAGTGGCAGTTCATCTGAGTATTGGTGAAGATCTGATATGCTGATCAACATATCAGACTAATATTTATCCTTCTGTTGCCACCTTGTCATTTCTGCCGAGCACTGGTTGCAGTAAAAAGTGGGGGACTGAGTGTTGAGTGAAGAGTAGAACTAAAGCAGCAATACAGGCTGAAGCTAGCAAGGCTAGTAGGACATGTACATTACTGGGGAAAGTCACAAGCACCTCTACAGACTTGGAGTGGGATGGAGTTCAGGCTCTGAGATCTTGTTGGGAGCGTGGTGGTGCAGGCTGAGTTGGTGTGGTGAAGTTGGTGTTACTATCATTTGAAAGTAGATTTTAAAAAATTTGAAAAATCGCTCTCACCATTTGGTGACCATGACTTGTATTTGAAGCTTCAAACCAACAAAATGAACAGAACAGAACATATATTTATTAGTTAGTCTACATTCCATTTTAGTGCTAATTAATCCATGCACTGTAGCACTGTCTTCCCATTGTTCATCAATTTGCTGGAACGGGCACCAGTAACAACTCCATTGTGAGACATGTTGTTATTGTTTTTGGCATATTGAATACGCCATGGGGAGCTTGCCAGACTTTCCCGCGCTGATGGAATACTCTCGGTAGCTTGCCGGGCTCTCCAAGAGGGGCAGAGGAATCGAACCCAGGTCGGCTGCATGCAAGACAAGAGCCCTACCTGCTATGCTATCACTCCGGCCCAGTTAAAAGCAATGCTTGTTATATTAACACTTGCAAAGATTGACTAAAATAACATCAGTCTATTTGGAAGCTTTTCATTTTAATTTGACTATTTGTAAATTATATACAAGCATTAATGTTTCAAATAGCAATTTATTAGTTCTTTTTTAGCACTAAATAACCAATCTTTTAAACCTCTGCTATGTCAGTGGCATTTCAATTTTAATTTACATAATCAGAGTCTAGACAAATTTTTACTTCAGACTGTACATCTGAGTATACAATAGAGTATACATCTTATTCATAAGCTTCCATTACCATAAGAGAAGGATTTTAATACTTACATTCAGAGGAAGACCTTTTCTGTGGGTAACTGAAAGTTGTTTTATATAGTTACCCCTGTCTTCAGCTACTTCATCACAGGAGTAAGTTCTTTATAAAAATGACTGAATTTTTTCTTCATCAAGACAGTCACACAAATTTAAAAAATGCCATCTAATATGCTTCTGCCAAACATACATTATGGTACATACAAACATACAAACATACATTTTGCCTTATCCAAAATTAATCCACATATCTTTTTTTCTGATCAAAGAAGTCACTTTATAGCAGATAAAATGAGGCAATGAGCTACTGTGCATTGAAATCATTCACTGTTTATATCAGATTCTCCACTATTCTAAATAGCTGATTTGATATAAAAAGATAAATAAATAAATAAACGTTTGAAAGATTCAGTTACTAAGGACAGGAGAGATGTAGTACATAGGATAAGGCCTTGTTTTTCATGCGGCCTACCTGGTTTGATCCTGGACACTATATATATGGTCCCCTAACCATAGTGAAATATGACCCATGAGCACTAATCCAGGAGTAAGCCCTCAGCATTTCCAATTGTACTTATCCCGCAACAGATAAATAAGCCTTGGAACTTGGGCAAGGTTTTCCAAAAGAATATGTATACTCTGAAGTAGCATACAATTTATGATACTGTTCCTCCCATAGTGTCATAAATTGTATTGCTGGAGCAATAGCACAGCAGGTAGGGCATTTGCCTTGCATGCAGCCTACCTGAGTTCGATTCCTCCGCCCCTCTCAGAGAGCCCGGCAAGCTACTGAGAGTATCTCACCTGCACGGCAAAGCCAGACAAGCTCTCCGTGACATATTAAATATGCCAAAAACAGTAACAAGAAGTCTCACACTGGAGACGTTACTGGTGCCTGCTCAAGCAAATCGATGAACAATGGGAGGACAGTGCTGCAGTTCCTCCCATAAATAGAACTAAAAAGTTCACAGACATATAGTGGAAATGTGCATTGTACTGCTCCCTATTTTCTCAGTGATAACTAAAATAATGTCTTCTTCCTGTTACATAACATTGCTTTTTTAGCCTAGAGTTTTTGCTTCAGAGAGAGGAATGCTTTTGCTAAAAAACACAACAATGATTCCATTTAACAAGATTTTGAGTCTGTTCTTCTGGCCATTTCAGGATCCTCAAGAGTGAATCAAAAAGCATATATGGAGATATGGTGGGTATGGTGAAAAAAATAAGGAAAATATACAATAAAATTATGATTTTACAACAGAGGTGAGAAAGAATATGTCTGGTATATGAGATATTATGTTTATAAGTGTAACAGCACTCTATTGAACAAGTGAAAAATTAAAATACACAGGAAGCTTTAGTAATGACACAAAAACTTTAAAAATAAATATTTCAGCTAACCTACATGATAAAGAACGATAAACTAGCATGGTGCTTAGGTACTTACTGAGTACAAAGTGATATTTACAAATGCCAGATCTGATCCTGTGGCAGTTACAAAAAGGAACACTGTAACTGTTAACTATTTCTTACATATTAACAGGGCTAGAGCAATAGCACAGCAGTAGAGTGTTTGCCTTGCAAGCTGCCGGCCTGGCAGAACCGATTTCAATTCCTCCGCCCCTCTCGAGAGCCTGGCAAGCTACCGAGGGTATCTCGCCCTCATGGCAAAACCTGACAAGCTACCTGTGACGTATTCAATATGACAAACACATTAACAAAATGGCTCACGATGGAGACGTTACTGGGCCCGCTTGAGCAAATTGATGAACAACGTGAGGACCGTGACTGTGACACATTAATAAAAATGTGCTTAAATATTATATGATAATTTTAATAAATAAATTTAATATTTTCTGTCTGAATTATGTGATAAGTTATTAACTTTGTGTAAAATGATTAACAATTACATAATTTTCAAATACTGTTTAATTTAGATTATATTAGAGATCGCCCCAAAAGCCTCCATTTTACCCCCGGAGAGCCTGGCAAGCTACAGAGGGTATCTAGCCCGCATGGCAGAGCCTGGCAAGCCACCCATGATGCACCAAATATGCCAACAACGGTAGCTAAAATGGGTCTCATTTCCCTAACCCTGAAGGAGTCTTCAGCTGATTTGGGAAAACAAGAGAGCTCACACTAAGCAGATGGCGTGCAAGTCAACAGGCGGGAAGTTGACCCACAGGTGGCTGGCCAACAAGGCGGACCGCAAGAGAGTGCCAGCCATGAGCTGTGTAAAGAAGACACACCGGTACTGGTCCCACACCGTGGCACTGCATGAGATCCGCCAGCTGCCGTTCCAGCAGCTGGTGCACCAGATTGTGCAGGACTTCAAGACTGACCTGTGCTCCCAGAGCTCGGCTGTCATGGCGCTGCAGGAGGCGTGCAAGGCCTACCTGGTGGGGCTCTTAGAGGACGTAAACCTCTGGCATTCCCCGCTAAGAGTGTCACCATTATGCCCAAGGACATCCAGCTGTTGTGCTGCATTCACGAAGAGAGCATAAAGTTTACGATGCTAAAATCTCAGGGCTGGGACAAATGGAGATGCTACTCGCATCCGCTCTAGAAACATCAATGATTAACAGGATGACAGTGACAGTGACAGTTTAATTTAATACATTTCAAGGAGAAAGTTATCATCAGGCAAAAAACTCATTTCTTTTTCTTGGGAAGTCACTAATGAATTTCTTTACTGCATCTATGTTAGATAAAATTAGACCTAGTTATGCAGTCTCCCTACCTACTCCAGATGGAATCCCAGTGACCAAGAGCTTCCACAAGAAGGCCCAGGGATGTGGGTTCCAGGACTGAATCTTCAGACTGCATGGCAGCAGAGAGTCTGGGCTGTTCCTCCCTGGGTCCCTGCCCCCCTAGCAGACTGGCTGTCACACCCACAATTTGCCTCTGGGCTCCATCTTAGCGCACCAACAGCCCTGACCCAGAGACTCCCAATTGAATCCCAAAATGGATTAGTGCCATCCAGAAAGGTCTCTGGAACCCAATCATTTACAATCTAGAAATATACATTTACAGTTGTGACTGTGCAAGCTCTCGTGATACTCAAAACGAACAACAGAAGATCAGTTTTCTAGTGTGTGTCCCTGGCAGGTAGACTTGAATGGTGTTGGGAAATTTCGAGGAAAACATAATGCCCAAAATTAAAGCGTATTGGGGAAATTGCCTGCCATAGATGCGGGGTGAAGACTGGGATGTGGACGGTGGAAAATGTGCACTGGTAGAGGGATGGGCATTCCATCCTTGTATGGCTGAATCTCAAACATGAAAGCTTTGTAACTCCATCTCAAGGTGATACAATTGAAAAAAAAAACAATGTGGAGTTCATGCCTAAGTCAATCAGTTTAATCAGTGGCTGAACAAATATTAGTACTCCTACATTGTTAAAAAATTAGATCAAGTTATCATATTTCTTTAAATAATAACTAGTTATTATCTAAAATTATTTTCTTATAATTTTAGTGATTATCTTGAATAGTTGTGTATTTTTGCCAAATTGACAAGGGGTAGAAGTATAATAGTAATTTTATTCACTAATTTGACTGGTGCCAAATTAAATATTATTTCTCTACATATCTGTGAAGAACTTTCTAGAAGGAATTAATGGACTCATTAAAATCAATTGTCTTTTCCAATGTAGATGGGAATAAACTGATAAATGTTGATAGCCCAAAACAAAAAGTAGATGAAGAGAGGCATAACACTCTTCCTGATTATTTGAACTGTCTTAAGACTAAAATTCAAATCTTAACAACCTTTGATTCTCGGGTGTCTGTAGTCATATTAGATTAACACCATCAGTTTTTACGGGTCTTTAATTAGAGTATGGTAGTTATTTTAGTCTATTAATGTGTTGACTATTATTTATAATTAAGAAGTCAGATGGAATATTGATTTGTAATAAATCATGAACAACTTTAAAAATATATAATTTTTAATTCACTCACACTTCTAAATGTTTTTAAAAAACATGTTTTAAATTACATACATAATACATTTTACCTGAACATTTTTAATATGTTTTATTATTGTAATTTCAATAACCATTAGGTTAGTCTCAGGAGAGAATAATGAGTTAAATGTTTATTTCCAAAATTATGAAAATTAACTTGTAACTATCGAAGACACTCATATGAATTGACTCTATTTTTAAAAACACAATGTCAAAACACATTTTTTAGAGCAGGAGAGATGTTTACCACAAAATTTATAAATTCATTATTCTTTTCCTCTTATTCAGACAAATTTCTAAAAAATGCTTTCACTGAGGTATGGTAAAGCATGTTTTAAATGTAATGAGCTAAAATATTTTCATAATGCTTCTAAATATATTTAGGACTCAACTCAACATTTTAATAATAGAGCTAATGAAAAATGGAAGAATATGCTCTGACTGATTGATAAGCAACTATTTTGATATCCTTGGCTAAACTTAGTATGGGAGTAGATATATGTCAACCACTTTTCTGAATCTCTGACTTGCAAAGGGAAGATCAAGAATTCCTCAACCTTCACGTTAACTGACCCAATCTTTTCAAATATTCCTCATTCCTTTTCCCTTCCCTCTTTCATTTGCCCCTCCTTTTTTTACTTTTTCTCTTACTCTAACTTCTATTTTTCTATTATCCCCCTAAATATTATCACTAAAGAAATTTAGTGAATCTGTTTTCATGTAGTGTTCAAAGTCAGAAAATATTTGAATAACTTATTAACAGTTTAATCTAGAGAAGTCACTATAAGATACATATTATATTGATTTTCCTTACAATCTTAAAACAACTAATAAACTGAAAGTTGGCATTTAGGTTTATCCAGTAAGTGGAGCATTTTTTAATTGAACCATCCATTTACATTAATTTTAATTTGACATAAAATAAAAAATTATTATATAAGTACTTTTATTATATTTATCAAATACACTGTCTTCATTTTGAGGTTTATGAAATGTTTACTGTCTGTCATTTTCTTCAGCATAAAATTGGAATATATGCACAAGAAATGAGGAAAGTAGTTTTATTTATTTTATGCAAAATGTACTGGAACCAAAACTAAGTAAACCAATATAGCAAAAGAATAACATGAGAAGTTCAAGGAGAAAAATAAATCTTAGTTATCTGTTGCATACCCCAACAGTTCCAGTGCTCAGAGAGTGGTGGAATTAAGAAAACTATACAGGTACTGAGCTCAGGGATTGGTGAAGAAATAACGTCCATGGGATCCAAGCAGTAATCTTCACAGAGTCTTTCAGAAAAGGAGAAGTAAAAAGCTTAGAGAGCAACAGTATCAGGAATATCTGCAGATTATTAGCCCTAACTCAGAGTAGACAGCTAACCTGTTATTAAACAGGCTAAGTCTAAAAACTTTGACATCTGGAGGTCCAATGGAGTCCATGTTCAAGAACTTAAACAAAAAGGCACACTAGGACAAAACCACGTGCTAATTTATACCTCTGAGAGCACAGCAGACATAATGTAGAGATGTGGAAACCCACCAAGATTAATGAGTGCAGATATTTAGAAGGATAATTATTAGAAAAAAAATTTTTTGCTTCTTAGACAGTAACAGTAACTTGAAGAGACTGTTAATGATCTTGTAAACACAATTTCATAGTTTTCAATACAGCCTAAAATGTCCTAGAAACAGTAAACCTATACAGTGAATTGGCAGATTATGAACCAAAAGCCAATAATCCATAGCTGTTTTCTATATGTAAACAGTTATATAGAAAAGGAAGAAACATAAACAACAATTCCGTTCACAATTGTACTTCAAAAATATAAGTACTGGAAAACAAATGAGATCAAAGACATACAAAAACAAAACTGGAAGTCACCATGAAAAGAAATAGAAAAAGATACAAGAAAATGTAACACATTCTCTGGTAATGGATTGAGAGGGTTAATACTGCTAACATGATACCCTACCTGGAATACAAAGACTCAATGAAATCTCCTATTGAATGTTTTAGTATAATGGACCAACGACTGTTAACATTTAAGAGGAATAATAAACCTCCCGAATAATCAAAGCAATGATATAAAAAAAGAATACGGGAAGCTTATTTTTCTAAAATTTTAAATATTATAAAGCTATAGTAATTAAAGATGCATTCAGGAATAAAAACAATGAAATAGAATTTAAAGTTCAATGACAATCAGGCAAATGCACGGCAAATCTTCAATGGAGCATCAAGATGTACAAAGTAAGGCAGGGAAAGTCTCTTAAACAGTGATGGGAAAACTTGTTAGCCACATGCCCTTGACCTCAGGTTTTAGGGAGAAGGAGAGAGAAGGAAAAAGTTTGGGGAGAAAGGGGAAGGAGGAAGGTGGAAAGATGGAGAACAGAGGTTGGGGCTTAGGTTATGATTGGTGATGTTGAAAAGTGGTATAGCTATGTATCCAAACACAGACTCAACAAGACTGAAAGCATGAGATCTGAACTGCATATGGTGTCTGTCAAGGTGACAGGCAGGTGGGTGTGGTAGAAGGGGAGGGATGATGAATATGAGAACACTGATGGAGAGAAGTTGACATTTGTAGTGGGATTGGTAGTTAAGCCCTATATGCTTAAAACTCAACCATCAATAACTTTGTAAAACAGTTCTTTAAATATTATTTAAAAATCTAGGCTAGAAAATAATACAGTTTGAAAGTGGAAAAAGTTCATCACTTCATAATAAAAAAGTATTAACATTTTTATAAATTAAAGTGAGAAAATAACCAACTAAACTTCTCTGAATATTGTCATTTTTATTACATGTCCTCAAGTAATATATATCAATGTTACCATTGTCTCATATTTCTGTAAAATGTTCATTCGGGGTAAAAAAAGACAGAGAGCTCTTTCACACAAAAGCTATCTTTGAATGGATTAAGAATCTTTATATTGAACCTGAATTTGGAGGTTGGGGGCTGGAGCAATAATACAGTGGGTAAAGCATTTCTTTGCATGTGGCTGATCCAAGCTTGATCTCTGGCATCCTATATTGTCCCTCAAGCACTGCCAGAATTAATTCCTGAATACAGTTCAAGAGTAATCCCTGAGCACTGCCAGTTGTTGCAAAAAACTAAAAAAACAAACTAAAAACAAGCAAAAATAACACACCTGAATTTATTAATTATATAGAGGTAAAGCATAAGCAGAATTTTTAGGACACTAACTCTAGAGGTATTCTTAAGTAATTATTTGGGAAAAAGTCTTACAGTCTTTTAGAAAGTCGTCTCTAACCTCTTGAAAATACGGTGATACCAAGTAATATAGTACACTTGCAAAATTAAATCTCATAAAAAGACCACGACCCCATAAAAAATGTGGGGAAAAGAACTGGACAGAAGTAAAAGATATCCTCAAAGAAGACATAGATAGGAAATACGTATACGTAAAAGTTTTCTTTATCATTTATCATCGGGAATTGAAAATTTTTAAATACAAACATTGAGATACCATCAGACACCAGAGAGATAGGCACACAGAAATAATAATAGAGAGA